CACTTCAAATCTCCCTCACACAATCGCGTACCGCCGCTCTCTGTGGTTCGTTTAAAAGTCACGGAGTTTCCTGCCACTTAATGAAGCTGCATTCCTTAAATCCCTGACAGATTTTGTGAAGTTGTTTGGTTTAGAAAGACGAATTTGCCATTCCGCTGCCCCGCGCCCCAATGACATCTTAGTCAAAAGCCGGTGTGTTTGGGGCCGCAGGCAATGAAACACATTTCCTCAAGGCAACCGATTCCTCCGAGCAGAAGAAAATGGGAAGACAAAAAAGTGTGGAGAGGAAGGAAGGAGCATGGCTTGCCTTTCCAAAAAAGAAAAAGCTATTTTCAATCAAGCTTATCTCTTTCAGTCCCTTATTTACTTTTAATTGGAAAGAAGGAAGTGAAGAATATGAAAATGCCTTGAAAGACATTTATAAGAGTCCTGGGTAATTGGCTGCATCAAAGATGACAATTTGCTGCATGGTTGATTTCATTCGAAAGGCTTTTCTGATTCTGTGCGTCCCAGAGGCTGGACGAAACTTTGCAAACGGATCAGGACAAAGCAGCCCAGAGCAGCGCAGGAAAGACGGTGCCATTAGCAGTATCCAACTTGCAGCCAGGACAAGGACTGCGCTCCTCCTCTGACACCTGAAAAAGCATCGCACTTAGACCTGCATCTAGGACTGTGGCGGGCTGCACATTTTCTAGCTGGTAGCAGAAGAGGGGAAGCAGATGTGGACTTAATGGCAGTCGTGCCAGCCGGCTCATAGTAGAAGCAGGCAAAAATGAGAGCACAAATAGCCCCAGATTCCATTTACCTGAGCTACGACCCAGCTCAGCTTTTCTGGTGAAAGTCTCAGCACAAGCACCGCAAGCTGTCGGCGACATTCTCTGACGAGCGTTAGCAAACCCAGGCCCAATTCAGTGTGAGAGCAATGAGCTTCCAAGTTGAAATGATACAACCGACAGGTGTTTAAGCAATAACCTCTATATTCTAAGGCTCAAGGTTTATGGTGTTTTGTGCTGTGAGCACAGCACTAAAGAATAAAAATATTTCCAACTTTCGGAGCTCGTTCCCACGTTTTCTATTAAGTCCATACATCAGTAAGTGTCATTTACCAATACGAACTCCTATTAGTCATGCTTCCAAGGAAAATGCCGTTATTGCTGCTTCTTAAGCTACTGAATGATGAAAATCAGATCACAGATTTTATTTTATCGAGTTTGAGGTATTTGCCAGTCCTGTTGATTAGGGTATAATTCAACAGTATTTTACACAACTCAGATACCTTTTTGTCATGTGCCTGCTTAAAAGTCTGAAGGTTGTTATTAAATGAAAGAGAAAGAAGGTAATTACTAAATCAATGGTATAACCCTTGTGATTTGCTTTGCATCTCCTCACAGACATTACGATGAGAAAACTTAAATGAAAACCAGAGTAGGCAATACAAGGAAGTCATGCAACAAGCAACAGAAATCCATATAGGTTATTCTCCCAAATGCCCAGTCAGAGGTCTCAGATGGTTAATGTGGTTGAAATGCGTAATTCAAAGCTACAAATAATATGTTTATGAATCTGGACATGTCCAGTGCACCTTGGAAGCAGCTGGGGGGGGGGGGGGGGGGGAAAAAAAAA